ATTTGTCTTTATTTACCATGAATTACCTCTCAACTGATTCTAAGGAGAATAATACATTAGTTTCTATTCTCTCCAAAAAGTAAACACACGTTACCACACACGTTAGAGCTAGAGCGCCTGAAGAGGCGTCCTATCTGAGAAGCTTCCCTTCCATTGCATGGAGGTTTGGATTGAATTTGAATTCATGGTATATATGTATGTATGTATGCATGTGTTTATTTATTTCTATTTCACTGACTCTTGGAGGTAGAAGCTATAAGTGACCACATGAAGTCCATTGGAAGGGCAGAGGCCAATTCCTTCCTTGCCCTCTCTCCAGATTTGTGAATTTCTGACATTATGGTCCCAGGCTCTTAAAGAGGAGGGGCAGACCAGGAATGGTCTTTACAGAGGGAGCAAAGTGGGTAGAGGGACCTAGAATGAGTTTCCAGAAAGGTTGGAGGCATATTGTTTTCATGGATGTTTTGGGGGGGGTTAGTACAGTTGTTTGGCATCTTTTGTGCAAGTGTTTATGTCGGGGAAGTGCACACATGTCTACCTATGTAGGTGTGGGGTGCGCGTCCTACTAAACACAGTCTATGTGGGGACAGCAGGTGTAGGGGAGGTGTCATATTGAATACCATAGACTAAATGCTATTTTAGAAAGAAATCCATCAACACGTGTGTGTGGGCCAGAGGTCAGCCTGGGCAGTTCTTCAGAAACTATCCACATTGGTTTTTAAGGCGAGGTATCTCACGGACCTGCAGCTCACTGACGAGGCTTGGCTTGTTGGCCAGTAATGCAACCTATGAAAAAGCGAATTGTTGGCTTACAAGATTACTTAGCTGTTTTGTGCAGGTGGAATTTATCAGCATGTTTATCATACACTCTGTGAACCGAACTCCAGCCATTCCCCTGTGGTTATTTTAAAGGTTTGTGTGTCATGAACTAACTTAGTCTTTTTGTACATAAATCTTTGCTTTCATCTGAATAGGAGATTGTAATTGGGACACTCCTCAGCTTTCCTCTGGATCCCACATACACTGTATATTTATCAAAATATTTATTGACAGGTCAGAGGATCATCTGAATTAGTTGTTGATTCATACATTCATTTTTTAGGACAGTCTCTATTCTGGATTTTACTGCTCATGTGGCCTAGGACAGATGGAATCTCAGAGGAAGGATAGATTCTGTCCACCTCACCATAGTGTGTGCTCATAAGATCCAGTATTCAGTCCTGTGGGTCCCCATGGAAGGAGAAGGGCCATGGAAACTCATCACAGTGTGAGTTTCCACTTCTAAGAGCCTGCTTCCCTCACTTCCTGCATGCTAATGGCTCACTCCGTCCTGAGTCGGGTTCTAAATTGCCCAAAGGTTCTTTATTGTCTCATCTCAACTGTGCTCTCCGAGGCTAGACTGATGGTTCGTTTGGATTGCGCTGAAGACTGCCAGAGCAGAGCATCCTCCCAGATTCTAGTCCTTATATGTGACTGTGCAGACTTGGACAGGGGCAGAGGAGGCAACAGAAGAGCCCTAGGAACGCTTGCAATGCTCCCTAGTGTGGGTCATATCTCATTGTCAATATCCTAACCAACAGGAGAAAGAATCAGAATCCAAAACAATCTCAGGGGTTCTCCACCACTGGCTCCATCTCAGTAAATCATAACAGGAGGAAGGAGGCTTTTTGCTTCCCTGGGAAAATCCCATTCTCTTTAGGTTTTCATTCTAAATACAAAGAATTGGAAACCGCTGGTGTGAGACGATAAGGTTGAAGTTAATGAGGAAAGCAAGCGGAATGGGCGCTACAAGGAACATTTCCCTCACAACAAGGGAAGCAAGAAAGCCGGTGAACCTGATTTGTGGCATAGTAACTTCCCAGGCCAGGCACCCTTTTAGAACACACACCTGCCCTAATAACCTGGCTGCTGGGTATCTTAAAGACAAGCACCTTGAACCCAGGACCTGCATCTGTGTACTCAGATCCTACACCACGAAACCTTAACAAACGCTACTGCAAAGTGTTTGTCAACAGGCAGGGGAGATGGCTTGGAGTTTGGAGCATGGACTATGCTTGTAGAAGACCTGACTTTGGTTCCCAAATCTCGTGGTAGAAGGCTCACAACCACTTATAATTATAGTTCCTAAAGACCACATGCCTTCTTCTGGTCTCCACAAGGTCTTACACCTATGTGCATAATCGTCTGTCCACTACATAATACACACACACACACACACACACACGTATATTAATATAATAAAATTTTAAACTAATAACATTTTTTAAAAGTTTGTCATAGACTAGAACATTCTTTCTGCAAGGGCTAGAATCTTGTTAGAGTGCAGCCCACACATTAGCAAGACCTTGGCTATGCCTGGCCAAGCACCTCAAAGATCTTCACAATGGCACATGCCAAGTGGAGTGCTCACATCTGGAAGGGTGTAGCTCCACTGTCTTACTCACGGTGTATCTCATGGGAGTGATCAAGGACAGGCTCACAGTGACGAGTTTCACTGACTATCTGCCTGCCTCTGGATTTGTTCTTAAATGTTTGAAGACCTTTAAAAAAGAGAGGTCTATAAACCACAAAGTGGGGGGGGAAAGGATGGAGAGGAATGAAAAGGAATGGAGAGAGAACAAGGAGAGACATGTAGCTTCTGAGAATCTCCATCCACCTACGGAGCTGCCCAAACACATCCCTTGCCCTGGATCATTCTGAGCTAAACATGAGTGACAGTGGCTTGGAACATGATCTGGTTTCTTTGTATGTCACTCACCAGTGTAAAAGCTATTACCTGAATCTGAATTTTTGTAACCACAGAATTTTTTTTAAGTAACAAATTAATTAATGCAGACAAGTTACAGCAAAGCAGGGACTCTCTGCTGTAAGTTCTAGGTGTTGTGGGTTGGTGAGAGCTCATGGTTTGTGAAGGGATATGTGCCAAGAGTTTTAGCTAGCTGTCACCAGGCTGTTAGGTCAGAAATGGCGGTAGGTGGCAAATGGCTCCGGAGGCCTCTAAAGTCCATGGGAGGCGAATTCGGTTTCTCAGCTGCAGTATTTAGAGTCCCCATAATCCGGAGGTGCTAGTCATTCAGTCAGATCATTGATGCCAATGCAGGCTTTGGAAAAGACTTCAGATCACAGAGAGAAACCGCTCTTAGACGGAAGGGAGGAGGCATGCGTGAGTAAGAAGGGTTTGTAATGTCTAGCCAACTCCTGTCACCTCTGGCTGGGATGGGATTGTCACAGGGAGAGGCCACTGTGGTGGATTCAGACTTAGAGAACAGGAGCATGACACATGGCTCAGCAAGTAGCCACTTGCAGGTGCCTGGTTTAAAACAGCTGGGGGACTCCTAAGGGTCAAGGAGGAGGTAGAGGGATGAGGCAAACCCAGTGAGGCCTCCGCATGATTGTGCCAATGAGGAGTATATGATAAAGAACACAGGGTAGACACAGATGTCACCAAAATGGTCCTTCATCCACCTGCCATAGGCTCAGAGATGCTGAGGGCAGGGCAGTTACAACGACTACACAGCAGGATTAATTGGAATTGTCTCACTGGTGCCTGGAGGTGTTATGTCAAACTAATAATTGTGGCCTGGTTGGTCAGGGGTATATGTTTATTTGAGTAGAATTGCATTTGGTAGATCAAAACCTGTTAACCTACTAATTATCAGAGCTCATCATAATACTTGAATAGCATTTCTCAGAGGTTGGCCTTCTCAGTTCCCCTCGGCTATCTATTTCTGTGCTTCCTCTTATGAGCTTTCTAGAGTTCTGTCTGAGGGTACCTTCTCATTTCCGCAAACATGTTGCTGTCTCCAGATTCCACCCAAGATCAGGAGAACTGGGAATTGCAAGGACACACTCGGTTGTCAGTTCACTGTTTGGATTTATTTGTGTCTCGGAACTGTTATTATCAGCTTTCAAAAATGCTCACCTACATCCAGGGAGCAGTGAACCCCGTCAGTGTTTTATTATGTGAATGCTTATAGCTACAGCGTAGAGTATCAAATAAAAGCAAAATTTAGTAGGAAGACTGGTAAGCTTGCAATATCACTCTAAGAAAAGTATTTATAGAAAAGATAGTAAGATGCTACAAAATAAAAAAATAGGAAAAAATGAAGTGAAAGTTGAAAGTAGAAAATAATTTTGTCATGTCCAAAGATGATAGTTGAAAAATACATCAATACATTATTATGGAGGCCCCAGGAGACTTGGGCACAGATATTTTCAGGAGACAGACAGAAGAGCCATCCCAGAAAGCCAGAGAAGCTGCACTAGCCCAAGTCTCTGCATTCTGTAATCACGTTTCTAGGGAAGAATGTGCACACAGCATTTGTTTCCTTTAAGGCCTGGAATCTTCTATTCATCTGTGAGTTGTATTCCCAAGTGAACACAGCAAAGTTGTCTCCAGCATGTTACAATCCATTTGGGTGGAGACTCTGGAAAAGGGTTCGACTTCATCTCTGCAAGCAGAGGTTTGATGCTGTGTTATTCAGTACAGTCTGGGTCTTCTGTTCTTTTGATTCCTTCAAATAATCCCATTGAATGGCAGCAAAGATTCCCTCCTGAGGATGGCACAGTCCTCAAGTGAAAATCTGGAATGAGAGCCTATTTGGTCAATAATTTGGGGCATCTGTTGTCTGGCACATCTGCACAGCCATTACATCCTGGATTTTATAGTAAAATACTAGAGGAATCCAGACTCTCTTTGAGGCCAGGCAGTGGCAGTGCACGCCTTTAATCCCAGCACGCTGAGAGGGATGCAGGCAGATCTCTGTGAGTTCAAGGCCAGCCTGGTCTATAGAGCTGGTTTCAGGACAGCCAGGACTGCTACACAGAGAAGCCCTGTCTCGAAAAACAAACAGCAGCAAAAATAAAATAAAACAAAAAGAGAATCTCTTTGAAATTGGTTATACATTGTTCCAGTGCACAAAGGAGACAGCTCCCGTCTTCTGAATTTGTGCACGTTCTTTAAGAGGTTTTCAGTGGCTTGTTTATTTTCTGCTCCTCAGAAATTGAGAAGGGAGGCTGTGGGGACCCTGGCATCCCAGCCTATGGGAAGCGGACTGGCAGCAGCTTCCTACACGGAGACACGCTCACCTTTGAGTGCCAGGCAGCTTTCGAGCTGGTGGGAGAACGAGTCATCACGTGCCAAAAGAACAACCAGTGGTCAGGCAACAAGCCGAGCTGCGTGTGTGAGTCCCACTTGTGGGGGTCGGGCATCAGTTACAGAGGAAGGGGAGTGTGGCAGAGACGTGGCCTTGTGGCAGCTCAGGGTTTCCTGTTTCCTCACCCTGCAAAAAAAAAAAAAAAAAAAACAGTCCATGCCTTGATCCTATCTGCTAGGTAGAGAAGAGCTGAGCCTTTTGTTTGAAAAGATGAGATATCAACCATCATCCCCATCAAGAATTCACATAGACTTGGTTCCGCTAGGCAGCAGCTGGATATGAGCTGGTTGTACGCGCCAGGAGACAGTGGGCATTTGGAATTCAGTTAGAGCATTAAGTGTACTGTTTCAGCCATCACAGTTTCGGTATCACATCCACAGGGAGCTAGTTTTATTTATAAATAAACATAGCAATAGCATTTTTTAAAGTTGATGGGAGAGAATTGGTTTTAAATACACTGATATTCAACTATCTGTGGGTTCTAGCTGGGCTGTGGAGCGGAACACGTTTCGTACAGTTCTGAAGTCAATCACCTGGAATTCAGCACACAGAGCTCAGAGTAGTTGGGCCAATGTGAGCCCCAGTGGGACTGTCGTCATTTCTAGCTGTCTGTGGCCAGGTTCATATGGCAAGGCTTTGGATCTGTGTAACACTATATGACATTATCTTCATGCCCCGCAGTTTCGTGTTTCTTCAACTTCACGGCATCCTCCGGGATTATTCTCTCACCAAACTACCCCGAGGAATACGGCAACAACATGAACTGTGTCTGGCTGATCATATCTGAGCCTGGAAGCCGGATTCACCTCATCTTCAATGACTTTGATGTGGAGCCTCAGTTCGACTTCCTGGCTGTCAAAGATGACGGAATTTCTGACATCACGGTCCTTGGAACCTTCTCTGGCAATGAGGTGCCCGCGCAGCTGGCCAGCAGTGGACACATCGTCCGCCTGGAGTTTCAATCCGATCACTCCACAACGGGCAGAGGGTTCAACATCACGTACACCAGTGAGTGGGCACGCAAGTACCTCATCCATGCCCCGTGGGTTCACATGTGCGTGGACTAAGAGTTCAAGGATGATGCCTCCTCAGGACTATAAAGGAGTATCCCAAGTACCAAAATTATTTGTCATCCTGATAAAAAAAAGGATCGCTTTATGCAGGCTGTGCTTTAGACACCTAGAGTAGATGTTGGAGCTCTCACATAGATTTTTCTCTCTCTCTGGCCATCAGTCCATTCATCTACCTATTTATTACTCATTTCCCATGCAACTGCACATGCACGCTCTTTTATCTGTCCATCCATCGAGCTCCCATTATTAATTCACCTGTCCAATTGTTTATTGATGCTTCTCTTCTTCATTTCCTATATATCCATTATTCATTACCACCCATCCATCTATTTACTCCTTCATCCAACCATTCTTCTGTCCACCTGCTCTACCTCCATTCATCTATTCATTCATGTATCCATCCAGCTCTTCCCATATCTGTACGTTCATGCGTCCTTTATTACCTACGCACCCATCATCACCCACCCATCTCTTCTTCCATTTTTCATTAACCACTCATCCTTCATTAACTATCCATCCATCTATCCATATTCATTCGCCCATTCATTTTCATCATTCATTGTATCTAACTGCCCTGCAGTCCATCCATCCTTCCATTCCTCAAGCAATATGTTCGTGTAGAAAATGTATGCTCTACAGAATGACATGCTGTGGTAAAAACACTGGTGTGTCAGATACCCAGCACAAGGAATATGAGTAACGGTACCGAGAGATACATTGCGATTATTTATCTGGCAGATAACCTCCTTTTGCTTCAGTTTTCTCTCCTGCAAAACATTTGAAATTATGAAGGAAAGTGTGAGGTCATGCTGATTTATTCAGCATTCAATTTTTTGCCATGTTTATTTTCATTGGTGTTAGAGTAACTCTGGGATATAAGCTTAATAGTCTTGGTGTTTTACACAAAAATAGACAGGTCTAGATCCTGAGATCTCTTCCTTGTGTCACGTGGTAAGTCTAAGAGCAGGACTCTAACAGGGCAGAGCTCTTCAGAGCTCTCTGCTTACCACCTGTGCTGTGATCATCCCCTCTTCTGAGTGCATGCTGAAGGTCAGTTCCACCAGCAGAGATGATAGGCAGAGGACTTTGTCACTCTGTCCCCCTTTTCCTCCCCTCTCTTACACCGATACCCAATTGGTTTGATGTATTTCTTTATGAACAATGGATATGGAATTTTGTTACATCATTCTTTTATAAATACGATGTTTCCTTCTTTGTCAGTACATGTAATTAGTTTTGAGCATCTTTATGTTGCTGACTTTTCTCTTTCATGGCTCAGCATTTGGTCAGAATGAGTGCCACGACCCTGGCATTCCTGTGAATGGCCGGCGATTTGGAGACAGGTTTCTGCTGGGAAGTTCTGTGTCCTTCCACTGTGACGACGGCTTCGTGAAGACCCAGGGTTCTGAGTCCATCACCTGTATCCTGCAAGATGGGAATGTGGTCTGGAGCTCGACTGTCCCTCGCTGTGAAGGTGAGTCTCTGACCAAGTCCTTCAGAAGGACAGCAAACAGAGTCTGTCACCTACCTAGGCTTCAGTAACAAAGACCCACAAAGTGGTGCAAATTGGGAACCCCTTCATCTGAGTCTGTAAGTTGGACATCTAAGACCAGGGGTTTGGAGGGCAGGTCCTTCTGGTAGCTCTGAAAGGGAGTTCAAAAGCAAAATCAATATGAGGTGATCATCAAAGGTTTATGAGTGATAATGAGATAGATTATTGGCAAGGCCATGTGGAAATCCCTGTGCTCTCAAGAATAGATGATGACAGTATCCCAGAGTAAATTTATATTGAGTCCTACAAACCCTTTTGTCTTTTGATCCATGACCTGTATCTTTAGAATAATAGAATAATACCACAAAATATTCTATCAGCAATACATGGTGCTGCTGCTGAGTGCTATTTGTACAACTGCAAGAGCAAAGACTTAAAAGCAAGAAAAGCTCAAGCGATGAGGTTTGTTTGGGTAAATAGGTTGTATCCAAATGTATCACCCACCACTGCAAACTTTATAAGATCAAAAGAACATTATTGAAACCTGATCATGCGAAAGGACGGAGCTCACCAAACTATGGGTGCTAATGAAACCAGTGAGAACTTAGCTGTGCCCTTAAACACCACCTGAGCATATAGATTGAAAAGAGTCATGACATACCATGATGGAAACATTTAAATAAGCAGTAGCTCACATTAACAAAATGCTAAAAATTGTTAAGCAATGTTTGTTAATTAATGTTATAAGCAAATATTTTCCCTTGATCTCTATTTCTCCTATTTTTCTAATATTAACACTTTTTTAAGTAAGCAAATAGAAGAGGGTTATATAGATTTAGGATTGTTGTTCTATCCAGCTCCATCCCCTGAACCCACAAGACAGAAACAAGCATGGCATATTGTCACCAGGCCTGTGACCTACAGGAGGTCTAAGATGAACTTTACTCATTGTGTAGATTGAGCCTCTGAATGGCAGCCAATAGCACAGTGGCCTCATCCTGCCCCAGCCATAATTGTTCATTATTATTTTAGGGGGTGGTATGTCTAGTCAGGGTGGGCTTATCCTGCTCTAGTCCCACCTCCACAATTGTTTCCTTATAAATAAATGCTAATTGAGAATTCTATCTATGCTTGTAATTTTCATCAAATGCACTTCTCATCCCACCCCCATGCAATGCTCTGTCTGACCTAGCTCTTTTCCCTCCCAGCTTCATCTACTCGTTTTCTTAAATCCACCAAGTCCGTTGCCTGAATGTGTATGTGTATAGGGCCACACATTGAAGTATGTGTAGGCTAAAAAGCAGAATGTGTTCTACCCAGGTCCTGGTCTTTGCCTCTATGGGTTGTGGTGAAATTCAGAACAGTGTTCTAGTTGCTCCATAAATCATCTGCTGCTTTGGTCAACTATGGATATGACCTATGGGCATAAATGGATAACCCTAAAGAACAGAAGCCAAAACAAAATTCAACACAGTAAGAGAACTTTGATTCATCACACACATACCATGTAACTTCTGTATGTCACGTTTTATAAAATGTTGAGACATGGCAGTTTTTAATCTGCCGTAAACACGCACTGCAGGCTCTCCGGTTGATGCCATGGGCAATCCTGTTTGTAGACACTGACCCACTCAGGCATTTCTGTTGACTTTGGAGCATGAGTGATATATGGAGAAGGATGTTTAAGATAACAAGGCTCCAGCCTCTGCTCTTGTATGCCCACAATTATCCTTGTGCTTCCGTGGGCAATGGACTGTGTAGGAATGCATTGTGAGCTGCTGGGCGAGCATTTGCCTGAGAGGACAAGGAGAGTAAATGGACCGGAGCAAGGCAGGGATGAAAAGCCTGGTGAAAGGGGAAACTGTCAGTCATCTTAAAAGCTGGTGAAGGATTCTTCCTCCTTTAGAAAAAGCCTGGCCCAACCCCACGAAGTGGAAGGCAAACTCCAGCTGAAATTGTTAACAAAGCAAACTTAGAAAGGAATGGTGGTAGGTGAGAGAGCCTGGAAGTTTCCCTACTCCGGAAAGGCCAATTAGTGATTGCAAATGAGTCTCTGACAGGGCAGGTGGATACTCTGATAACAGTGGAAGGGTCCCCAATTGATGCACATGCTGAAATGGAATAAAGTCTGACTTTCTGATGGATGCAGACCGGGAGAGAAGAAAGGGCAAGGCAGGAGGAGGTGAACAAGAACAGCAAGTGCTGCCTAAGAGGGATGAGAAGAATCCCGTGTCCCTTATAGACTCCCATGGAGACTCCTATGCCGCTTTCAGGACATGGAAGTTCTCGCGTTCCTTGCAGGATATGGAGACTTTCTCATGCTTTACAGAATACAGAGCCTCTCATGCCCCTTCCTTCCCTAATGCTGTGTGCAAGCAGCGTAAACTCCTTAAAGAAAAGTTCTGTAAGAGAACCCCATAGTCTCCTGGAACACTCCTTTCCTTGTGATTCTTCAAGATTGACTTTAAAAAAAAATTGTTAGCTACAAAGCAAAGATAAACAAATTCAAATTAATGTAAGCCACAGAATTTTTCATATTGGAATTAAATTACTATGAAAAATAATAATAATAATAAAATATATAAAATGGAAAGGTATCCTCTAATTAATTGTGGAAAGCAAGAGAAATGTGGACCCCAAGTCCAAGCCCACCTAGAACCTTGCACAGTGCAAATCTTCCAGTTAGGCAACATTAAAAAGTAATTAAAGGTAAGTGCAGTCCCTTGTTGTCTCTGATAGATGATGTGTCTGATCATGGAGCCCAGAAAAACGTGGGCTATACCTGTTGACTTCATCCAATAAGGTTTCCTGAGGAATAAGTTTTGTTCGATGCAAACAATGACTCCCGGAATGACTGACCACAATACCTACCTCTAATGGGAGGCTGCTGTGGTCCACCTTCCTAGACTTGATTTCTTTTCTTGACTGATATGTGTGTCCTCTTTCAGCTCCATGTGGTGGGCACCTGACGGCTTCTAGTGGGGTCATCTTACCTCCAGGATGGCCAGGATATTACAAAGATTCTTTAAATTGTGAATGGATCATTGAAGCAAAGCCAGGACATTCCATCAAAATAACATTTGACAGGTAAGAGCAAACCTTTCCCCACTGCTTTGGCAACTAGAGCTGCAGCTACATTCCCTGTGCTATGTAAATAGACCTTAAAATATGAAAATCCTCATGTCCCAAGGAAGATCATGGACCAAGGACCAGAGGCTGACACAGCCATGCTGTCTGTTCTCATAGTCCTGCTCTCCCGTGGGCACAATGAGGTCTCGGCTCTGGGACACAGATAAGGAGGCAAACTGGATGATCACTGTCCTAGACTTACATAGAGTCTGGATTTGGAACCTGGAAATGGGAGACTTCTGCTTGCTATGTGGCGTTCCCTTGAAGCAAGTCCCCATCCTGCTGGACCCTTCTGCACCCTCCATGACAGCCCAGAAAAGAGTTCTTCAGTTCTGGGGAGACGGCTAACACTTGAAGGCAGGCGAAGGTTCAGGGTCAGCAGCAGGGTTAGTGCAGTAGATTAAGAGCCTCTCCAGTGCGTGGGAGTCACTATGACTGCGACACGGTCTGACCTAGTGATCTGAACACATGTTTAATAATCTGTAAGGATTATGGATGGATGGATGGATGGATGGATGGATGGATGGATGGAAGGAAGGAAGGAAGGAAGGAAGGAAGGAAGGAAGGAAGGAAGGAAACTGTTCAAGCTCTAGCAGCAGGTTCTCTGCCATTTATCCAAACACTGAAATCAATTTCAGGTCTGAAAACATGTTTGTTTGTTTGTTTGTTTGTTTGCATAAAAAATTGTACTTGAAATCTAAAAAAGCACCTTTTCTTAACACTATAGGTCCAGTTTCTGAATGATGTGAAAAGACTGGGAGTTTAAAATATATAGTGGAACTATCATTATTAATTATGTTTTATTTATAATTATCCATACTCTATTTGAATGACCTTACCTTTTAGTAGAATGATCCTTCCAAACAAGGAAAAACACTCAGTGTCTGTTGGTAAGTGACCATGCAAAAATAACATTAATCATAGAAAAAAAATAGTTGTATGTGTTCAGTATGTGAAATTCAATTTCCGACCAACTTTTATACTTTCTGGGATCAAGAAAAAACAGAATCAAACACCCCAATGTTCCCAGTCATGGGTCAGATTTATATCATTTAGATAAAGTATTAATTTCGTGGTCTCAATCGCCTGTCTCGTTTCTGTTGCTCGAAGAAAGATTCGTGCTAAGTTTTCCATAGTGTGATCTTTTTAGTATGAATTTGGTGCAATATTTTGGTAAATCCTATTTGAGTAACTAATATTCTTGGAAATTTTAGACATCCAACCTAGGAGCAGCCAGAGCTTTGCTCCTCAAAGATAAACTGCATGGCACAGCTTTAGTTTGTTCTTGGTTAACAGCTGATATTGGAGCTGTGCAAATAAGGTTTGGATTCTCCACAGATGGTTTGGCTGTGCATAGATGCCAGGCTGCCAAGTCACGATAAGCACTGAGCAGTTCACAGTTTTCAACGTGTGTGTGTGTGTGTGTGTGTGTGTGTGTGTGTGTGTGTGTGATCTGTCTGCCCTGCCCGAGCTAAAAACAGTGTGAAAGTTTTTCCATGTCTCTTCACGATTCAAATGGAAGACTCCATGCTTCTGCTGACTTCTGAAATTTGGACTCAAATGTCTTATATATCACTGTATTAAAACTAATAAAGCCAAAGCAGGCACCACCAGGCCCAGGTCCACAAACCTCAGTTCCTGTTCTGGTCTAGCCACATTGTTTGCCTTCCTCTGTATAGAAGAGAGCACAAAGTAGCAGCTACTACTCTGCTTGTAAAACATAGCATTATTGTGCCTTTGCAGAAGAACATCCGCATTGGAAGTGAGCATGGCAGTATTATTAAATGAGGTTCGGTATCTATCCTCTTGCTATTGTGGAGATGTACAAATAAACTGAGCTGGCTCCCCAGCTCTCTTCTCTTCCTAGCAATAGTCTGCACCCATCAGGGGAATGGCGCTCCAGCTTCAGAGACACATGTGGCTCCATTACTGAGTGAGTCAGAGGCATGAAATTCTGAGACGCTCCTTCAGAGCCAAAAGAGGCACTTGGAAACTGAGTTAGCTCTGGAGAACAAGATGGGAGTGTTTAAGGAATTATCCCAATGCCCAAAAATGGCACCATCATTGCACCAGGGGGACCTGGGTGTCTTGGCTTTATATAAATAGAATTACAGGCTGGGTTCCCTGGCAGTACAAGCAGAGTTAAAAACCGTCTGGAAGCCGGTCTGGCTTTCCCGAATTGTCATGGCACCACTGAGCTTCTGAAGCAGCAGCTTGCTCAGTGTTGGTCCCTCAAGGGTTGGTGTGAGTAAAAACTGCACAGCGTGGTTTTCAGGAAAGATATTTAAACATCACGTGCCATGAAGTCCCTCTTTCCTCAAGGGAGCATTCCCCTTCAGTGTGTCTATTTCAAGGTGTCCATAATACGTTAAAGAGAGAATCATAAAAAATAGTGCTAAGTTCACAATCAGCAATTGTTCACAACTAAATGTTGTATCCATGCATCATCTGTCTCTCCCTTAGTCTGTCACCAACCTGCCTATCATCTGTCTATCTATAGCCTATCATCTCATTTGCTATTATCTATTATCAAATTACCTGATATTATATATGTGTATATTATATATAAAAATCTGTTTATCATGTATCATCTAACATCTATCCATCATCCATTGATCTGTCCTCTAACCCCTCCTTATCTAAGGGAACTTAGGTAGTTCACAATATTTTCCTTTCAGGGGTTAATAATGACCTTCTTTATAGCCTGCTTTATAGACAGAGAATTAGTTATGATAGAATGTTTACAATGTGCTGTCTTTTCCAACAAATAATACAATATTCATGTATACGTTTCAATCACCACAGTCACTTGAAGTTTGTACTAGGAGTGGCACAGCTGGACAGGTGTGCAAGCTCACATGACTCTCTGCATGGCTCTCCCCAGGTTCCAGACAGAAGTCAATTACGATACTCTGGAAGTACGGGACGGGCCAGCCAGTTCATCCCCACTGATCGGAGAGTACCATGGCACGCAGGCACCGCAGTTCCTCATTAGCACGGGCAACTATATGTACCTGCTCTTCACCACCGACAGCAGCCGGGCTAATGTTGGCTTCCTCATCCACTATGAGAGTAAGTGGCCCCTGGCTGGCTCCCAGGGCAGGACACTATGTCCCGGGTGAAAGGTGTTCCTATATTTGTCTTCAAGTGGGATGACAAATGGGCTGATTCCCTGGACAATCTGTCTGTCAAGTAATTTCAAGAGGTCTACTACAGGGTGTTTTGGAGGGTGGAAAATTGCTTTTGGTTCCTTAATAAATATCAGTTGCCTAAAACAAAGTAAAATGATATAATCATTAAATGATAAATTTTATCCTTTTAGTACATAATGAATTAATATATTCTATTATACTATTAAATTATTATATTACACATATATATCATATAGGGTAATATGTGTATATATAATTAACATATTCTACCATAGCATTGTATTATATATACATATATATCATGTGTATATATATATAGTGCGATACATATATACATGTATACACATACATCCACACATATTAACAGAGATACCAATTGGCTGGATGTGATATAGAGTATTTTACTGAAAACATTTCCTAAATACTGAGTGGGATCAGTTCCCAGGGTACTGTGCAGAGCATCCTGGTCTGTGAGTTCATACGAATGTGTTTTTCAGGGTAGTGAACATTATACCAGAGGTAGGAAGGGATTAAAACCCAGCTGTGCTTAGCGAATGCCAAGTGATGGCTGAGAACAGTTAACAGTTGGTAAACCGTGATGGATGCAGTGTGTTCAGCAGGCCAGCCTCAGTTTTCTTTCCAGTTTGGCTCTGAGTTTCAGCTTCTGAAGTCATGAAGTGAAGGTGTACCATTTTATGGAAATATTTATATAAATATACTTTGGGAACCTGCAGGGGGCTTCTCCATAGGAGTGGGTTTTTAACCAGAGTCAACTACAAACAAAACAAAACAAAGCTACCGCAGCCCCCAATGAGAGCACCTTAACAAGAAAACCCGAGAGGGGCTTGTTGCAGACCCAAAAAAACCATGGTTCTGTTGGGCAGGATATTTAAGGCCATTCCTTTTTTCAGCCTTTTCTCAAAAATAAGTGCTTGCATTTTAATGATATATTACATACACACACAATTTTATAAATGCATGCATGGGATATATGCCGTCTTCTTTAATCTTTCCTGACCTCCCCATCATCGACTCTGCTAATCTCTGCCCAGAACGTCTGCTAGCCAGCCATAGCAGCACTCAAAATATATTTTCCTGTGTTTTACCTATATAAACATTTGTTTATGTAAGGTTATGAACATGTTCTTGTAAGGATTATTTTTATCAAAATTGAATAATAATGTTTCAACTCTGCTACTAAAAGACTGACAATTCGTCAAACATGGGTTAATTTAAAACAATTAAAACTTAGTTGTTATATATATGTGTGTGTGTGTGTGTGTGTGTGTGTGTACATATAGTGTCCTATATATGATTTTTTTTTCAAAATAGCACTTTTTAGGAATTAAGAGTTCGGACTGAAGACGGGGCTCAGCAGTTAAGAGCACTTGTTGCTCTTACAGGGACTGGAGTTCAGTTCACAGCTCCATACCTGGCAGTTCACAACTTTCACTAACTCTAGCTACAGATTATCTGAAACCCTCTTCAGAACTCCTTGGGTACCCTATCCCTATACATATGACAAATATCCACACACAAATAATACATCAACATATATTCATCCATCTACATAAATAAAAATAAATCTTAAAAAACAAATTTAAGAGTTAAGGCATTTGCTATCTTTTGGGGTCCTTTTATATATTCTTGGCGTGAGGTATGTAAGTAGACACCGTGTTTACTCCAATCTATGATGAGCCAAGTGTTCATGTCTCTGCTGTGCCCTTTTACTTTTCCTGAGATCAGAGAGACTTGCCTGTAGACACATAGGAAAGAGCAATCTCTGGGGACATTGGCAGGTACAGATAGATGCCAGCATTCCTTTCATCTGTCCCGGCTTTTTGCATTCCAAGGACTGCCTTTGGAAAACATTTTCCTAGAGTAGTATTGAAAATGGAGCTCCTCTGGCCATTGAACTAAAGTTCAAATGATCAGACCCAGCATCCAGGAGGTCCCTGTCGGGCCCAGGAAAGTGTGAATACCAAAACATTATGACAGTTGGTGAGCAGCCCCAGATCGCAGTTCAAGTCTGAGCTTACTGCCCGCAGGGGACAGTGTATCAGAGTTTCCCTCTCTCCGATTACACAAATATCACAGTGACATTCTCTTCCGTGGTTCTCACAACCTTAAATACATTATTCTAGAGAAGAGAAATACAAAGCGTGTCATGATCAAGTGACCCCGTTCCTTCTCTATTCCAGCCTGTCTCACAGCATAGGCATATGGCAGATGGTACGCAAATCTTAAAACTGGGTTTATGGCTGTGGCTTTAGAAAACCAATTGGCATGCAGTTTTAAATCGCATTCTGTGTGTGTGCTTGCCTGTGTGTGTGCAGATCTAGGAACATTGCTGTGCAGCTGCCAGAACCTAACTGGAATGCAAACCATAAAAGGAAAGAGAGAGGGGAAGGAAAGAGACTGAATGGAAGCGAGTTTAATGTTCCCCTAACAGTCCATTGATTTTCAGGGGAACAAAGGTAAAATTCAGAGGGGCCAATCAGTTATTCAAGGTTGCCCCATTTCTCTTTGACCTGGAGAAGACCACATCAAGATGATTGCTTTTAATTTGGAAAAACAAGGTCCAATGTTTGGAGGCATTGCTTTTGACATTAATGGACTCCTGGATATTCAACCATCAATTTAGTAATGGAGAGTTCACTTGGGTAATTCCCTGGATCTGTGCATATGTGGGATTATGTTATAGCTAATAATATAGTGGTTTTCTTTCTTTCAGTTAGCAAAGAAGGCCTTTCAGTCCCATATTTTCTGTGTCCATGCAGGTGTAACTCTTGAATCTGACTCCTGCCTGGACCCGGGCATCCCTGTAAATGGTCATCGGCATGGTAGTAACTTTGGTATCAGATCCACGGTGACCTTCAGCTGTGACCCCGGCTATACAATAAGTGACGATGAGCCTCTCATCTGTGAGAAGAACCATCAGTGGAACCACGCCCTGCCCAGCTGTGATGGTAGGTAGAGCTCAGCCACGCAGAGCTAAGCTAGTGCACCTATGCACACATCAGCACATGGACCAGTGTGCACAGGGCGTGGCGTGATACAAGGTGACCAAGGAACGGGTTCCTTTTACAAACTGTACTCTTTAAGGGGAGCACATGTGAAGGGTGTTCAGTATTTCTCTACTAGCTGTGATGACTCTTAGAAACAATGAAAATTTGTGGTCTATCCTTCAGAGCTTAGAGAGCTCAATTATGCGTGTGTGTTTTTATAGAAGTGTGTATAGAAAGACTGGGGGACATTGTGGTCCAGATAGTCAAGTATAACTCTTCTGACTCCAGTAACCCAGGTCCACATAGAGAGCTCCCTCAGAATTAGCACACCTTGTCCCAGTGACCTCTGACCTCTTCCAGATTATCTTTGCTGTGCATCTAGGCTTTTAGAACATCGTTCAGAGGCTCTATGTGTCATTGACCTTTCCTCCTGGACTTATCCACTCCTGGAAATACAGAAATACAGATAGAGGATGATATTATTGATTATTGTGTATCACCGTGTCTCTCTCAGTTTTACACTAAGAGTTAGGCGTTGGTGTTATTTGTGATCATTTGGAAAACACTTTTTTGGTGTGTTCTCTCTAGTCATGAATATACACTATTATAACATGGTTTCTTTAGAAAAGTATATAGGTATTTGGAAAATAAATACTTAAGTGGGAGTTATATATACACATAATTTCCTCTTCCACTATTTTTTCCTAACTGTGGGTATTTCTTTTAAAATGTTATATGGGTAATAAGCACCTTCACTTTCTCAGAATAATAGATGTAAATAGCAGAGCCTGGGGAAGATTGGGCTCACAGAACTTCCAGCCACTGACAGTCTTGGATCTTTTTCCCAAGTCCTATCTCAAACAGTGCTTGGTGCATGCATGCATGGAATGCCTAGGGTAGATGATTGTCTTCACAGGCAAGCACACAAAAGCAGTAGAGATTTTGGACTCTGGGCAAAATTTGGGAGGGAGGCTACTTATGCACCCTGGGGTTATCTAGTAGGAGGCTACAAAGGATGGGCAAACGGGTATGATCACCTCCTTCAGGAAAACCACGCATTGCTTGTTGACAGAACACAGCTAAGATATGGCTCTGATGCTGTATATTGTCATTGGAGAAGCATCTACCCCTAATGTCAATACATTTGATGTAAACGGTGCGTTTAGACCCAGTGAAGGCTGAAGTTTGCCGAGGTACTCAGCCCATGGGGAGACATCCTAGGCGGCAGGAACGAAAAAGAACACTGGGCGTCAATGCACAGGGTACAGTGTCCAATTCCCAGAATATTGGTCAGTAGAGAAAGAATGTTTAGACAGGAAATGACTTAGAAATGGGGTAGGACTCGCTCTCCTAGAGTGGTCTCTGTGCTCAGTGAGTGGCTGAGATGTTGCAGACAGGCTAGAGATGAATGACATCTCCTGGAGAAAATAAAAGTGCATTAAGCTTAGACATTTCGTCTATTGTCTTCCAAGTCAAATTTATGCAAATTTGAAATCTGCTCCATCTAAGGGGATCCCTAAGGTGATTTGCTATGCTACACTGTAGCACCTTCCCAGGACTGAAAAGTCTACACTGAAAGGTTTTAATAAGTCTTCCCATTCTAGGAGAGTTTAAGGGTTTGCATGAGAGTTTTATTTAGTCCTGGCTGTTTGCACTGAGCTCTGAGAATCTCCTTACCCTTTCTAATCTCACACAGTCTTTTAAATCTCACAGGTTTTTATTGCAATAAACCCTACATCAATAGAAAATCTAAAACTCTAAAAATTCATAGTCCTCCGCAAGGAAACATAAATTAGAATTAATTATAATATTTTATCTCACCTGAAACGAAGATAAACCTTGTCTTTCCCTTTTCCAAGTACTGCATTTGTTCCATTTACAAACCATTGTTCGCACACGACAATTTTAAAGAAAGAAATTGAGGATTGGAGTCTTTGTCTTCCTTTCATTGGGGAAAGGACGAGTGCACGGATCATTTTGGAAATGTTGTTATTAAATATTTTTGTCAAATGTTTATTCTTTCCACAAACACTTAGTGCAAAACAATTGTGTTTGCTGTCTAATAGTTAACATCTGCATAAGAAGAAATAGAGTTCTTGAAGCAAGTAAAGAAAGAAAACTGTCTGGGAATAGAGAGATGAAAACATAAAATATAAGGTTTATAATGTGCAGTCTAGAGGGCGGCGCCTGGGAGGCATCATTCAAGGTCGGGCTTCCCGAAGAGACCTGATTATGGAGAAATCATTTGACTCAGGGCAAAAAAAAAAAAATAAAAAATAAAAAAGAGTGAGCAGTAGGTTATGGGGGTTAGTGGTGAATTCTGGTTGCTGAGGGGGGAGTAGTGAGACACAGTTCAAGGTGTCCCTGGGTATATCACAATTCAAGACGATGGCTCAGGACCCCTCAGCCAGAGTCCTTCATCTCTGAGAGTGGGAATAGTTACGAATGTGTCTTAGAGAGCTTGCCTTCTACATCTGGACAGTCCTAATTTAACACTGCCTTGAAATGCAGGGTGTCTGTCTAATGTCTCCTTTGAGAATGCAAGTCCAATATAAATAAATGTGCAAAGAAATAGATCTAGTCAGCGAATCCTGTCAACTACAGGGAGGCCAGGGTCACCCTGCAAAAGAGAGAAATGGAAATACAGCTCTACTTTCTTAGTCCCATCCCCATAAAGTAAGCACAAAAACCTCAGAAATTAATGAAAATGAAGAATAAAAATGAAGCATAAGGCTTTGTGCTTCACGTGGAATTTTTTTTCAAAGAAGACACTAGGCCAAGAAGCCAGACTTCAGTTATATTAAAAGACCCAAATAGACCAGTTGAAGTTTCCAGAGCAAGGCAAGGCCTTTAGCTTGGTGGTAGAGCACTTGTCTAGCAATGTAAGGCCCTGGGGTCCTTCTGCAGGATAAGGAACAAAGAAAAGATGAACTAGGGATAGGCAGACACGCCACATATAAGGTGTGATGTTGGGGGTATAGGACAGAGTGAAGTACAAATCATGTTCATGTAGTTGACAGATGAGAATAGTTCAAGGAAGAGGCTATGTGGATTTGAGGGTCTTCGGCTTCTGTGGACATTGTGAAGCACCTTATTCTTCCCTCTCTTGTAACTTCAACTCTCATGAAAAAGGACTCTGTTCTGGGGATAGCTCCCATATGAGAGCCCCTATCTTCCTTAGTGAAGGTAGACACTGAGTCTTGAACTTCTTACATGCTGTCTTGGATCTAAGAAATGAAAATTGAATCTGTAAACTGCAGTGCTTTAGACAACTCTTGTCGTGATCTGAGAGACAACACACGTGGAGAAAGGAGGTGAGAATGTTGGAAAAGAGTCACTGTGGTATCCATGGGAGGTCTGTAGGGTTTCAGATAGATGTGTCTTTCCCAGTCAAGCTGATGTGAACAGGCCAAAGACATGCATGAGCACACATACCACAGGGCAATGTAGGAGGAACAACTTCCCCCACATCCTACCAGCATGTCCTCACTTATGGGGTTTCCACCTTCCCAGTTGTGGGCAGCAGCTCACCTTCTTCCTTGACATCTTAACATCACTTTGTAGACTACACACCTGGGCTACCTCTGAGATCTGAAAGCTGCTTGGCATTTTTCCTTGCAGAATAAGCTACACTTTGTTATCGATGTTTTTCAGTAATTACTTTTGCTTTTCCCACTAGATTATATCTTGGAGATGTCAGGGACTTCTTTGAATATTATTTTGTATGCCTGAGAGCACGAAGGGGTGTTAGTATGACCAGGATATGGCCCCCAGTCAAGGATTTGTAATGGAAACTGAGATCCAAGCAGAGGACAACACCAAACGTGATCTTCGGTGGGAACTTACCCTCGGCACACCTGGGGAAAGATGTTAGCCTTCCCCTACCCTTCCCTTTTCTATTTTCTGAATACTTTAGTCTTCTGTCCAAGGGGCTTTTTGATAAAACCTGTCTGGGTCCTAGACAGTGGGGTAGATATTAGAAACACAAAAGTCAAACTTTCAGAGTGACAGCCTGAAGGAAGTTAGAAGTAAATTTTTACTGTAGCTTTTATAACTACCCAGAAAAGTCTCCATGGTGCATAAAGAAATAATTCATGTAATTCAAATTCTGTGTGGTTAAATTAGTGGCTCTGCTAAGGGAAGAGAGACATGGCCATCTATGAATAGTCAAGTTCTGTAGGGACCCTGAAGTAAAAGTCTGCGTTTTATCCTATTCTCTTATCTCTTCAGATTTAGCTGAGGATTTCAGTTCCATTCTCTAAATGTCAAATTCCCCTCTCCTTAAGCCTGTGGTCTCTACAGTTATTTTTATTTAGATTGCTGATAGTGAGAGGGGGCAGGAAGAGCTCTGTATGCACCGATGGGATCAAGATGGAAAGGAAGACCAGGCTTGCCTGCAATTTTCTCCCCACGTGCTCCAAAGGAAAGCTGATTAGCGCTCTGAGTCTTCCGCAGTAGAATGGGACATCACTGAACAGCACTGGGGAGGCAGAGACAGGCAGGACTCTGGTGCTCCATGGCCAGCTTAGTGAATCAGAGCACTCTAGGCTCAGTGGGGACCCCATCTCAAAAGCAGGGGGAGCAGTCGCTAAGCCATGGCCCTGAAGGATGACACAGGTGCACAGCGGTATACACAGGTTAGCCTGCATACGATGAATTATGGATTTTGTAATTATTCAATATAGTTGGATATGAACTACTATTTATGAGTTGAGGAGCACGGGCAGTCTTCAGAGTACTTTGTCCTAGAAACGTTGGATGTAAGGCATCTCACTGTTAAAGTGTTATAAAAGACTTTAATTTTCTACAGTTAAATCCTTCATAAGATTTTGAGAATTTATTGGGCTGATTTATGCCTGTCCCAAAATGAATTAAGATTCACTGCATACATCTTCTACAATCAGGACCTCAGGGCTCCGTTTCCTTTCATCCTGTCCTGGTCCCTCTACTTCAGTTTCTTCTCTAGAATCTTCCATCTCCATTGTTAGATCACATACATGATATATGACTGACTGTCCACCACTGTGCCTTCCTGCTTCCTGGCCAGTGTTTCCCGTGGGAAGCTTTTGCCTGGACACCCAATAGCATCACCAAAGCTGACCCCCGCACTCTCCAAACATCTCCATTCCCTGCCCATGCTATACTTAGGCTTCTGTCTTGAAACCTTACTACTGCTGGACCAGTCCTGACAGCAGACAGCTGTGATGGCTCTCTATAGCTAATGCCTGTCTGCCCCTCTCTCCCCATTGCCACTAACATCTGGCCATCTGCTTTCTTTTCTCCCTGTGCCTTACAGAGCAGCCTTGTAACCTGGTTATCCCTGCAGTAGCCCATGCACTCCACAGGCAGGGACCTAATGTGTCCCTTCATCTGCCTCAGAAAAATGCCATCCCCCTTCGATGGCCTATGAAGCATGGGAGACACTTGTGGACAACTACAGATGGCTCCCAGGGCTTCTCACTTTCCCTTCCTGCCATCAGACCTCCTCTGCAAGCAAGCCTGTACTATTCGTGGGCTACTTTTCTTTCGAACATTCTAGCCACCTGTGTTCTCACTCAGGTATCATGTGGGGCCTCCCAGCTCAGACTTTCTAAGGCCCTTTCTCTGTGCTTGGCTCCATTCACAGGCATGTCACCTTCCAGGATCTGTCATCAAGGGTCACACAGCTATGGTCCTCCGTATGACATGCACCCCAGAGCAGCGGTGCATTTGACCTTCCTCATGTCCACAGAGTAACCTGATCTAGATGATCCATGTTGAGACCCTCTTTCCATTTTATTTAGAGTGTATCTAAAATAAGTTGACAAAAACTAACCATAACAGAGACTATATTAGATTTCTCTCCACACTTTAGATGGCATTGAAAACTGAAGAGGTTGTCTCATAGGATCAACCAGTAGGAAACCAGGTAGAAAAGCTGCTGAGAATGTAGCATGGTAGGAGATACTTACTTATATTGTCATACTGCAAGTTGGGGGTGACTGTAGCTTGCAAGAATTAATTGACTATGTCAAAACAACCAGCCTATGGTCCTTTGAATGTTTCCAGAACAAAGAAGCAATGAATGAGTAAGGGTACAGGAGTGCCAATGACCTCAACTTGATCATTAAGCCTCCATAACTGTCAATCAAGTATGGAGGCTCCACATCTGTCTACAAGTGTGTGTCACTGACAAAGTCAAGAGACTGGCAAATCTTACAAGTATTACATATGAATGTGGATATAGGTGCATGGGTGTGTGTTTAAATCTTAAAAGCAAACTAGAGGAGTAAAAACATGATGATGGAAGTTACAAAATAATCCCACACTAGTTCAGAATTACATGTAATGGGTTATTTATTTAGGGGTAGACTCACAGGTCACAGTCCTCTGCAAGAATGGGGAATAGGAACCGAATCCAGCAGCCAGAAGCGAGAGAGTGAGCGCATGCTTTACAGCTCATTTATAGTATAGAAGACCATACCCAAGTGGGCTGGTATCTTAAAGGCTATTGGCTGAAGGAACTCCCACAGCAAAAAAGAAAAACATTTCTCTCTTTAAAATGTCTTTTCCACAATTCACACATATATGCACCATAATTTTATTTCTAATTTTTTCTTGCTTATATCCATATTTAATCAGTTTCATACTTCCATTTTTTCTGTCCAATTTCTTCTGTGTCTCCCTTCTACTTTTCCCTCTCAAACTTCAGGTACACTCTCTCTTTTAAGTTCTTAATGCTGCCTGTATGTGATTGTTGTAGGGCTATTCACTGGAGCATGTGAGGTCTCTCAGGGGCTGAAGCCCTGAAGAAAATTGACTCTCATTTTATAATAGCCATCTATTACCAGTAGCTCCTCATCTAGGGGTGAGACTTCCTATGCCCTTCCCCATCCATATTAGAATTTAGGTGGCTTGGTCTTGTGCCCATCATACGCATTCTTGTCACAGCTGCTATGGCTTCATGTGTTTAATGATTTTATCATGTCTAACAAAAATCCTTAAAATACTAAATGTATTTTACCGCTGCCTATTATTTCTTTCCTGCTTGAATTATTATAAGTAACTTTCTGGATCTTAAGTCTTTGAGTTTGTTTGAACATAGCCTTGCATGTGACAGAGATTTTTAATTCATCAGAGGGCTATTAAGTTCCCCCCTGGAGGGTGGGAACTAGAGCGTAATGCATCGTCAGTTCTGATGCATTGACGCTGGAGTTCTCTGCCCCACTCTACTCTGAGTTAGGTTTGATGGCTGTGCTGTGATGTAGATACCTGCTTGTGAACTGGCATCTCATAACTGCAAGTAAAAAGAAATGTCTAAATTTCAATTTTATCCTACTAATAGTTATACAAGTTCACTGTCCATTAGAAGCACTCTTTCCAGCAATCATTGTAGACTGCCATGTTTCCTGCTATTTCAGCCCTGTGTGGAGGCTACATTCATGGGAAGAGTGGAACTGTCCTTTCTCCAGGATTTCCAGACTTTTACCCAAACTCTCTGAACTGTACGTGGACCATTGAAGTCTCTCATGGCAAGGGTAAGACAAAGGGCACACTGGGGAGCCTGGACTAGAGGAGTCAGTAAGGGAAAAAAACCCAGAGGATGAATGACTTTTCATGGTTTCTAAGCTCTTAACTGTTATTTTTTATGAGTCTAGAGTGAAACAGAGGTCGCTTTTGTTGGTCTTGTTGTTCTCCATTCGGTAACATGGCAACTTGGAAATTAAATGTAATGATAAGAAAAGTGAGCTCCAATTAAATAAAATGTGAATATTGATTCAATATAAGATTAATAGATTGTTTAAACTTCGGTATGTCTGAGAAACATTCATGTTTCTGTTCTAAATTTGCTTGGCATTGTCCTTACAATAAATCCAGACCTTAGACAAGTAGTAAATGCAAAGAAGCCAGGTGGTATTTTGTGTGGAAAATGCAGGTTATAAATACTGGATTTAGCAAGGTACTCTAGGCATGTTCTTATATCTATAAGTATATCTGTCATTTTTAAAGAGGCTTTTAATTTTAAGAATAAAAACAAAAAAATAACCGTCTTTATCTTGTGCCAGAGAACTGAATACAGTTGCAATGATCACTTTACAATGTGTATATACAACTTTTATGTCTTGTATTTTCGTGGATAAAATTTCTTCTCTCATAGATGACCCTGGAGTAACTTAGTCAAGAAGACTGTGCCTTTCAACATGCATTTGAATCCACTTGGTGTTTTATTGACCTAGATGTTACACTGACCTCACATTACAGTGCCCTGTAGATATGTTTGACACTCATCCCTGAGAACATATTAAAAACATGGAGAGGTGGTGCAGCAGATAAGAGGACATGCTACTCTTTCAGAGGACCTGAGTTCAAATCCAAGCACCTACACCAGTCAGCTCACAAGCTATAACTCCAATGCTAAGGAGGTCAGATGCGTCTGGCCTCTGAGGGCAGCAGCTGTGCTCACATGCACATATCTACACAGAGAACCATGAGTACACATATAAACAATAATGATTAAAAACCCAAAGAAAGAAAGATGTGGCCCTGAAATAATTTAAGATGAAACAGATTATGAATAACTAAGGTGTTTTAATTAGAAAAAATATAAGTCTTTAAAGGAATCCACTTATGGTCATTTTATTTGCTTCAGCAGAAGTAAAGTTCATCATGTACTGATGAACCTGGTTTCTATGAAGACAGCATGAGGCCTACACAACCTTAATTTCAAGAGAATTTGCCCTCAGCAGTGTATGTTTTCATCTGTTATCTCCAAGCTAATATTTATAAAGTTAGAGAAACGAAATGGAGAGATTTTCAGTGTTTTGTCTCTCTCGGGTGAACAGTCCCTGCCCTGTGCCTGGGGACCTTTAGTGAATTCAGTCAAGCATCAACCTTCTTATTGTCCTTACCAACCCACACCTGTATCTGTAGATTCCTTTACGTCTTTATCTGTATTTGTAGCCACTCTGGTAACCCTCTTGTCACAGATGGCCATCTGCACACACCTGTGATGATATCTACCTCTGTGTTCATTCTTGTCCATGTGAACATCAGTATCATAACCATGATGGTGTTCAATTAGTTTCTACATCTTACCTATATCCTGGGTGGACCAGTAACTACATGCAGCTCCTCTGTATCAACATCTGGATTCATATCTACACAAAAACCCGTGGCAGCATCTGTCTGTAACTGATCCTGTAACTATTTGAATACTTGTTTTTGCTTAATATTTCTTGATTTTAGAACTGCCTCTGTCTAATCTTCTCTGAAAGTTCAAAGTTAGAGTCATACAAGATAACTTTAATATTTAACAATTTAAGATATTTTGATCCAAACCTTTGATGTCTATAATTATGCCCAGAAGAGATTCTTTTCAGCTGCAGTTAAATCGACTGTCCCGCCCTCATCTCTCAGGAGTGCAGATGAATTTCCACACCTTCCATCTCGAAAGTTCCCACGACTATTTGCTGATCACGGAGGACGGGAGTTTCTCGGAGCCAGTGGCCAGGCTCACTGGCTCAGTGTTGCCCCACACCATCAAGGCTGGCTTGTTTGGAAACTTCACTGCGCAGCTCCGGTTCATCTCTGACTTCTCCATCTCCTATGAGGGCTTCAACATCACGTTTGCAGGTATGTTAGCCCTTTGTTGTCTCTATCTTGGATTCTCTCTCTC